GACCAGAACTTCAACCTCAGTTTTATCAACCATTCTTTGCATCTGCCTATTCATCCGAAGTTGCGGAAATGCATGGATTGAACTGATCGGAGGCTAGAAATGCAGGTCAAGAAGAATCCGTTCAATTGAAGCCCTGCTGTTATATTTTGATCTAACTTAGAGAAATTCGAATATCAAATCCTCGATCATCAGCATCCAGCCAAAATGGGAATCAGAGTTGTACTTTGCTCCGGGTTATATTACGGAGATAAAAGGTCCTTGAGACAGTATTGATTTATCGATTCACACATTTACTTTGCATGCACAAATCTTGGTTTTACTGATCAGGCTATCCCCATTTGATTTCACAGTGACGATACAACTAGCCCTTATTGTTTATTTTATTCCGTTTCACACATATTAAAGCATAGATGATCGTACGAAGTTAATTCATCACAAAAACTCGTTGTCCTCAACCTATATTTCAAGTTACTTTAATTAAGTCAATTTTTTCAATCCCATTGCTGAATTAGTGATGCATTCAGCTCACTTCCTCCCTCAGTTCAAACATTCACTCTTTTTAAATCAGTTTTTCGGAACATTTCACATAACCGAGTCCTCAAGAGGACACCGGTCATTCAGGTTGCGTCAAAGAAAGCCTGCTGGCGGCAGGTAAGACCCTTATTTGGAGGAAATTGCACGGTCCAAGGCTTTAGGTTGACCTGTTACTCTGTTAAACGACGTTCTCTCTGCACAAGAAAAACTTTATCAAGAATATTCTTTAATGTGTCATTTGCGAACAAATGTACTGTTGAAGATGCTTTCAGCGGAACGTGCGTGAAAAATCGCCATAAGTGTCTCACTAAATCCACACTTTGTACACGCAAAATTAATGCGATCAAAAGTTTTTAGGCCCTTATTAGAGCATTTATTGTTAATCTTGTTATGATTTTATTTCTTGATTTCGAGCAAACAAGACGTGTGTGTTAATAATTCTACACCAAAACGGTTTGCACTAGCCTAAATTTACCGTGATTGATTTGTTTGCCGGCGACTTCAAAAGGTGAAAGTTTGTACTTTATTAGTCCCACTTTATTTCAAACGAATGTTCTGTGAGTTGGAGATGTCGAGGATGCTGGAGCCTCATTGTGACCAAAGTTTCTAACTTTTATAAAGGCATTCAAATGTTGAAACTTTACGAGTTAGACCAAATCAGATCTGCTTGTCAACATCTGTATACACAGATGAAAAGAGTTTTTCATCTTCCACCGGTGACCAAAAAATACATCACAACTGGGTTTTTCCAGAATCGAATATATTTTTTCATTTAGTTGACTTTTCTCTTATCGAGAAGCGATAATCTGAGGATAGAATTAAGTATGCAATGGGGGATTGTTTAGAATTTGACTGTTGTGGTGATAATAATTCATTTGCAGCTTTTTGGGTAACGGGTATTATCCTTATCAATATCTTTAGTTAGCAGCCAGGCACGGATGTATGCTAAGTTTAATATTTCGTTTGTTACCGAATGATGAATACCATCAAATTAACAGGAGGCCTAGCCGGTGAACATTTTTAGAATTCTTCTGAAACAGTAACATGTACAAACTAGAGAGTTTTAACTTTGAAGGATTCAGACAAATAACTGCACACTTGCTGAATTTTGAGCAGTATTCTGGTTGATCACACTGGATTACTGAATCACATTTAGTACCCCAAATTCAACACGTTCCCGCTTCCAGCGTTTCACCACTAACTTCAACAGTTAAAGTTGAAGTTGTTGTCGAGTATCCCGTATGCGCGATTCCATAAAGAATGCACTGAATCGGACTAATATGAGCCTGGGTTGCTTCCATCCCTCATAATTCCTTCGGAGGAACTAATCGGCCCCAAAACTCTACCAGAACCCAAACTTTTCTATGACCGTTAGCCTGCTCGTAAGAGCACCAATAAAATACTGTTGAGGCAGCCAGGTTCGGCTGTTCTAACTCTTCAAACAGTGGAAGTATATTTTGTTTAGCCTAGCTTTGGAAAAGAGCTGGTAAGTTTTCGGTCATCTGTCATCAGCTAAACATAAGTGGATAAACCCCAATGATTACTTTGTTACCATAATTCTTGAAAATCACTGCCAAATCGGCGTACCAAACCGTTCTAAAAGACAGGGATTGAACGCTGGGGTGAACCCATTTTACTACTATTATCATTTATTTTTTAAGAGCATGGTCACAAACATAAAATTGAATGCAAGTGATGAATGCAAAAGAGCGACAGGAGAGTATGGGAGAAAAGAGGGATGATCATCGTTGGTGAACCAAAGTCGACATCACAACCGATAGAATGTAGGGCTGAGATTATGGCAAGGGAATATTCACCAGCACCATAATTTCTCTTCTTCTCATTCCACACTATCACTCCACGCCCATCCGAGACTATGCTGACGTCTATTACAGTTGCACGGCGATCTCGAACAGCGATTAGGTCAGGTTTGATGAACGACGTAGAAGTAGGGGTTCTCAACTCCTCGAAGACGGTGTACCCCAGTCGACGGAGACGTTTTGCAAGTTCCCTTGCAACCCGATTATGACGAGCACACCTGGCATCATGCGTAATCCAGCAGGATTGCAAAATATGCACCAAACTCTCCGGTTGGCCACAGTTTCCACGACATAAGATCGTCTGGCCACCATGACCATGCCGAGCGCTTCTAACTCTCGTCCTAAGCAGGTTGCATCGGAGCTGGATACCCCGGATAAATATCCGTGGAAACACTCGTTCTGGGAATACGAGCCATCGATTCGAGAGAGGCGAAGTGACCAACTCTCGTAAACCGCGACCGTCAGCGCTGTTGTGCAGACTTTCACCCCAAGCAGCCACCAGCTCCTCCTTGGTGTTTACGCATGCTCCATGGACTCGGATCGGAAGGCTGAGATCCCGAACAATTTTGCCGAATGCGGAATCGTTGACCACATTGCGTAGTACTCGGCACTGAGTAGAGAGGAGCTTTTCCATACGCGTTTTCCGCTGCATCGGGATTGTTGCACTCAGACTTGGGATACCAAGTCCCCCATGTTGTTTACCGGCGTGGATGTAGCTGATCGGGGTGTCCTTCGGTAGACGTAGCCAGCCACGAATATATTGCCTGATGTAGTTGTCCAATCTTTTTAGTGTGTTCCTGTGGACTTGGCCGAGCACGAGCGAATATGTCAGCCTTGGTATCAGGTAGTTCCTCGTGATATCCATTCTTTGATGCGGCTTCAACGGGGCACGCGTCACTTCTTCGAGCAGTTTGAGCAGGTGCTGTCGGTGGTTGAAGACCCCTTTCCCCTTGGAGGTAAAGGGAATGCCCAAATATGTTACAGTGTCTGTCGGACCCAGAGGAGTGATTAGTTCCTCGGCAAAGCGAAATGGTTCGACTGAGACTGCTGTTGCCCGATGTTTCCTGTCCCCACAAATAACCATCACTTTAGTCTTTCGGGCGTTTATTTTCATGCCAGCTCTTCCCAACTCGACCGCAGCAGCTTCAAGCTTCTCTTTAAGGCGTGCCTGACTTTCTGCACACACGACCCAGTCGTCAGCGAAAGCAAAACCATCTACTAAGGTGTCATGGAACTGGTATCCCAGTTGCGGCATCGACAATCCAAGAACCTCATCCATTGTCATAATGAATAATAATGGGGAGAGTGGATCTCCTTGCCTCACACCTCTGTGGCAGTGAACCTCGGAACTGGGGAAAACTGCTACAGCATTCTCATAGGACTGTGCGATGTATCGAACTAGAGGTGACGGAGCTCCAAACGCCTTGGCAGATCTGACGATTGTGTCATGCGAAACCGAATCGAACGCTTTCGAGATATCGACAAACGCCAAGCTGAGGTTAGAAGCAGTCGCTGAAGAGTGACGAAGCAGGGCATGCAACAGCGATGTGGCTTCCAAACAGCCGTCTCGATGCAGAAATGCAAACTGAAGAGAGGGCAGTTGCAATCTACGACTCCAGCGATCAGCAAGCACCTTATGGAAGCAACGGACAAGAATGGATGACACGGAGATCGGTCTCAGTTGATCAGGTGAAGTCGGATGTGGGACCTTCGGAACTAGCGTAATACGGGCTCTACACAGATGTGGGGGACAACCCCCAGATAACAAAAATAAGTTGAAATACCCAGCGAGCAAATTAGCATTGAACCGGCGGAGCGTCCTGGGTGTGTGCTTGTCCAGGCCTGGAACAAATTGCCCATTAAACGGATCGTGCGACCAAATTCCTCTCCTGTAATTGGCTCGATCAAGCTCCAGTCGGATGGTACTACTATGCGACTTGGTCGGCTATCCGCGTGTTTTGGAGCTGAGAGCACTTGTTTCCAATACTGTTCGGCGTCCGTAGGTAGGCCGCAGTTTCCTTTGTATAAATCCTTCCATGACCCATCGAGTACAGCAGACGTTGCATCTTTCCGTCTTTGGTGGTATAGAGTCTGGATGGCTGCGTAGTTGGCTCGGCGGATCTGCTTTCGGCTGACCGGGATCCGATGGGCTAACTGGCGGCGACGTCGGGAAACAGTTTTCCAGGTGTGTGGAAATGTCCTGGAGGCGTGGAGGTCCATAAGCGACAGGAGTTGCTCCGGTGTCATGATGCCAGACTGCAATCCTCGGGCAAATGCCAGAAGGTCAACACTAGCAAGCGAACGGTCAGCGTGGGATTCCAAGAGTGACACGGTGCAATCCACGGTTTGTTTAAACCAGACGCTGTAGTCATCGGCTTCTGATGAGTAGGCCGTCGTCTGACCGATAGTTTGCTCAGGTTCACCAGATGATGTTTCGTCCTGTTGTGCTTGCCAGTTAAGCACCCGTAACCTGGTTTTGATGCTGATAGCCGATCGGCCAGGAAAATACTGCTCCAATCTCGTGAACAGCTCGGTTTGCGTGCCACAAAATGGATATAAATTGTTAGCCAAGCGTAAGAGCGATTGTGACTCTTGCTGGGACCAGCGGGTACCGGAATACTTCACTCGGCCAAGCTTATCTGCATTATGCTGGGTGGGGTGTGCGTGCCGGCGGTGTTGACTCAGGCCAATGTTCGTCGGAAAAAGGCGGGAACAATTAGCGCAGGCCAATTGGGCAACCGTGTTCGTACCAACACTTTCATTGTCATGAACTCGATGATGGGCTACCAAGCCAGCTTTCGATTTGCAGCACTTGCCACATTCCTCACACGTGAACCCAACGAGTCTCTCCTGTGTACTGGTTGGAACTGGTGCGGAGGCGCCAGATGATTCGTAGTATACATTGTCGAAAGTAACCAGCACATTGAAGCCAAACGGGGTGGTTGGCCCTGTCTGGAGTTGCTGAACTCTTAGCTCACCCAGACTGACGTCCAGGCTATCCGGTCGGCACCACGTGGAGGTGGTTCAGCTCGCCGACTTATTATTTATTCCTTATTCACAAACTCTACTTCCTATGCACCTCCGCAGGTAACGTGCAGTGTTCCTTTGCTAACAGAAATGGGAACGCACTCTGCACATCTGAAGCGCATAACCGACCTATGCGAAGCGGTTTTGAGCTTAGGTAGAATCTTCAGAACACAGTTTTGATATGTGTTGGCAATGTTTTGGAATATAGGTGGCTCGGGTGCGCTGATTGGTTGTTGGTCTGTTCGCTGAGCTTGGCAGTTGGAATGCAAACGTTTCACCACCAGTCGGGGTGATAACGTCAGGTGGACAGACGATCTAGAATGTCACATCTGCTGAGCAAATTTCTTCATACTTATACCGGAACTTTAACCCATTTATCCTTCACTGTTTAGTTCACCATCTAGCATAATTCTAGTCCTAATCCATTCCCTGGAAAATGTAGATATGAAGATTTTCCGTTTTCTCTTTCAACAATTTTTACTTGCGTGCGTGAGTGGCACAGAATCTAACCATATGATAACCTCTTACCCAGATTGTTCAGGTTTACCTATAAGCATTCGGACTAACGTCTTATCTTGCGATGCCATGTGTTGGTGTTGTGAGCTGGAATTGCGTCATGTCTTGAGTAGGTGTAGGGCCAAAAGCGTCTACCCGTTAGTTTTATCAATTGAATGACTATAGTTGAGCATCTTTCCTAATTATGCACAGAAATTTTAGATTATTAATATTGGAGTTTTCGGCGACGTTGAGGGGTTTGGGCGAAACGAGCCTGTTTAAATCTATCGTATTTATCGGCATTTATCGGCCTTCGGTAGTCGAGCAATCGGAAATTCCCTATAAATAGGCGCAACTAGGACGCATTCGATTCTACTCAAGTAAAAATAATACGGGAAGCACGTTGCGCAAGAATATTATTTTTCAACACCCTTAAATAGTTACATCGGTAAAAATTGGATTTATTCCAATTTAGAGGTTTCGCTAGATACATTAGAAGCAAGGCATATTTTTTGGTATGGGTCAGCATTTTGCCCCGTGTTCCGGTAAAAGTATTCTACTGAGACAAACAGTTGAAATGCGTCGTCATTGGGTGAAAGTGGTTTACTTTTCTGTAAAAGGCCTGCTTGCAAGTACAGCTGTTAGACCCTGAGGGTTGCCTCATCATTTGCTTAATTTTGAGCATGGAAAGCAGGTTTGGTGAATTTAAATTGATATTGATTATCTTAGTTGATCGAAGAAAGTAGAAAAATGCTCAAAATGTGAACAAGATATATTTCAAAACGCATACTTAAAGCATCAGATTTATTATTCATGGTGAGATTCCAGTGGTTAAGTGTCACGCACTGCATGCTAGAATCCCTAAATTGCTAGCAAATACTTCACGTACAATTGGTCTGCTTGTTCACCTGGTGTTACTGGGCTTACGAAATCATCTGCCTGACCTATGGTAACCCGCATACAATTCATGCAGATTCGATAGTAAAACATGAACTTTAATCTGCCCAAAGTACTGTAATTGCTTATTCCAATCATATAAGTACACGAAGTAGAGAGAAGCAGTCGATTAGTTACAAGATCTAGTGTTTTCATATGTTGTTTTCATAATAGTGAAATTTTGAGATGTTTCCCACTAATAATGTTCCAACCGCTTCATTTGTTATAGTCGATCTGTCGATTATGCCCTCGTCGACCCACCGCCGCATTCAAAATCAAACTAGTATATTTCGTAACACAAACGATTTCATTGTTGAGCTATTCAACTTTAAAATATTCAAAGATTGAAATTTTTGATAGTTCAATGGCAGTTTTTTCATCACTTTTGTGTTCGATACAAGGGCTGCGAGACGCAAACGGATTACCTTTGAACCAGAATGAGGGAAACGCAAAACCCTTTGGTCCTGTCAGTCATCGTGGTGTACACAAAAGAACATGCGTCCTTTCATCTACACAAACACACTTTTGTCTTCACTCATAAAAAAATTAGTTACAGCTCAGTTATTGCAAAAAACTTTTCATCGATATTCTCAACCAGTTCATGATGGATTCTTTTCATTATTAGAGTTGGGCAAGCGTGGTTGGCACGAGAATGAAGCAAAATATTACATGAAGTGAAACTCGGCTAACCAAACAAAGAAAACCCCACTCCATTGGTCCCAAAACTCTCAGGACCTTCGATGAACCGGGTGAACCGAATAAGCCTATGACAGAGAGACCAAACATAAGGCGTTCTCTGTAACAGGTTTTCAAAGTGAGTACGTTAGAAATTGAAATGAAACTAGTTTGAAATCAACCAAACGGAATGACGAGGAGAGAGTTGGCCGAATGATAGGCTTGAGTGGGCTGGAGAGCATTAAACCAGCTGGGTCTTACGAGTCAAATAACACTGCATTGAGTTTGGACGATAATGCTACAGATGCACACTGCTATATTCGCCCTCTTTGTCGACATCATTTGGGCTCCATCTCTGACTTCCTGGCACTTTTACCTCAAGAATGAAATGAACCATACGGAATTTGTGCGAAAAAAGGCTGTGGTTATAAGTAGCTTGAGTGTATCACAACTCGTTTTTTTTAAAACTAACCTGGGTTAAGTAAACTCGCCACAGCAACAATCTCGCTTATGTGGCGTACTGACTAATGGGGTTCAAATGACGCAGTGTCCTCTGAAACCTTGGGTTTCGGCGCAAACTTACAAAGGAAATATTTGTGGCGGGCAAAGCGTACGAAGCACAAAAACGATTTAAACATTTGCGCAGAATTGTGTGATGAATAGACAAGTAAAAGGCTGTGGTTATAAGTAGCTTGAGTGTATCACAACTCGTTTTTTTTAAAACTAACCTGGGTTAAGTAAACTCGCCACAGCAACAATCTCGCTTATGTGGCGTACTGACTAATGGGGTTCAAATGACGCAGTGTCCTCTGAAACCTTGGGTTTCGGCGCAAACTTACAAAGGAAATATTTGGTGGCGGGCAAGCGTACGAAGTACAAAAACGATTTAAACATTTGCGCAGAATTGTGTGATGAATAGACAAGTCCATCATCATTAAGGTGCCCTATGCTCTCATTGTCATGGTTGTTGGCTAAGGATTTTCTGAGTAAGAACCCAAGAATACTGATTGGTTCTGCACAATGGCTGACATATTTTTTATTGGATTATGCAAATTTGAGTAGTGCTTTTCAGAGTAAATTCAAAGAATGACCAAACAGGAGAGCCTGGCCTATTTTTCTTCCAGTATAGGAGGACAGTCCAAATGGAGACAGTTATTGAGAAAACTTAGTGCATGGTTTCGATGACATGCAATTTTAGAAGGATACAAGGTCGGTCCAATCGGAAATGGGCGCTTATCAGATTCTCTGTGTGGATGTCGAGTCCCCGAGGACAGTTTGCTTCATGGAGCATAGGCCATCAGTCCACCAATCAAATTTCCTAGCCAGGGGATCACTGCGGGTTGTGAATTCCGATTAGTTTATCGAAATACAGTTCTGCACTTTTTGGACGAAACGGAGCGTCGACCTTGGTAAATCACTAATAAGATGCCCAGCGCTTTTACGGTCTACAATTTTCGTCACCCAGATTTATTTGTAGAATTAATCAAAGATTAGTACTTATGATTTTTATTTTCGTGCTAAATGTCATTATTGCTACAAGCATTCTCCCACAGACTCCATCCCTGGTGGATTAGTCTATTCACAAACATGTCTGTTGCTTATAGTTGCTTATTAAGTTACCTCTGATTAAACGTCAACATATGATAGCTTCTACCTTCCTACTCATCTGATTTGTTCCCGAAATAAACGTCTCTGACGCAGTGCGCATTTCCGCTGAATTGTATTTACCGTCAGGTTCTGAGTCTGATGTCGTAATGAGTAGGGATATTCTGCTCCGCAACGTCAGCAGTCTTGAATTGATCGACGGCTTCGATTAGGATACGGCGGAATTTACGGACGGTCATCCGCTAAAAACTGATTAGAGGCTGAAACGTGCGATACAGTAATACTCGATAATTCATTATTTATCGACTTTCTGGAAATGCAGCTGTTAATATTATATTAAAGCGTACTTTTCTGATGAGACTGCTTCGTTTCTGCAGTTTATTTGGGCGTGGCTGAATAATATAATGTTAGTTATTTCCAGTAAATAATTTAACATGGACTGAGGATCCTCACGGGTGTTCACCGCGACGGTCTCATTAACAGACGCGCGTCATTATCCGCTCTAACCAGTGGGCGTCTTCATAACTCGCGCACACAGCATCTGTTATGTACTTCCAGACCTCAAAATATCAGGCTCCCAGTGTGGCTCTACTTAGTTAGCACTATTCTGAGAAGGGTAGAGCACTTGTTTTCCCACTAGAGTGATTTTTCAAAGAAGAATGGATGCATTCATCAAACTAAAACGGTGTACTGTGCGAACGATCGATTCGAAGGGGGGGACAAGATGTTCAGCATCAACCACAAATACTGCCTTCCACTTCTCAGCCTGGTGACTGTACACACAAGGACTCTCACTGTCCACACACAAAGTGGTATTTCGAAAGCACATAGAAAAACAAGAGAAAGTGCTTGTCAGCAGTTGTGATTGTGAGCAGCCATCATTTGTCCTTTGTGGCAACGGTAAGTTTTATTGCAATGGAGACTGAATTCCATCTGAAATGAATATCACCTCTGTTGGTCTGTGACTGTCATTATGATCCATAAGTAATGAAGGGGGCTTTGTGAAAGTAACATTCATTATGCACAAGGACATTTATTCTGTCTGAAGTCCGCGTAGTAATAAAAAAATGTCCTATATGCCTACTAGATTACCCAACGCAGTCATTCGAATATTATTTTTTA